TATTCTATTCTATTCTATTCTATTCTATTCTATTCTATTCTATTCTAAAAGTGATAATGTCCAAATTGGGCCCAAAATGTCAATATTTTGTGTGGCTGCCATTATTTTCCAGCACTGCCTTAATACTCTTGGGCATACAGTTCTCCAGACCTTCACAGGCTGCCACTGGAAAGCTCTTCCATTTTTCCATGATGACATCATGGAGCTGGTGATTGTTAGAGACCTTGCACACTTCCACTTTCCGTTTCAGGATGCCCGACAGATGCTCAATAGGGTTTAGGTCTGGAGACATGCTTGGCCAGTCTATCAGCAAGGTAGTGGTCGTTTTGGAGGTGTTGTTTGGGGTTGTTATCATGTTGGAATACTGCCCTGCAGCCCACTCTCTGAAGGGAGGGGATCATGCTCTGCTTCTGTATGTCACAGTATATATTGGCATTCATGATTCCCTCAATGAACTGTAGCTCCCCCAGTGTGGCAGCACTCATACAGCCCCAGACCAGGATATTCCCATTACCATGCTTGACTGTAGGCAAGACACACTTGTCTTTGTACTCCTCACCTGGTTGCTGCCACCCACACTTGACATCATCTAAACCAAATAAGTTTATCTTGGTCCCAGCAGACCACAGGACATGGTTCCAGAAATCCACGTCCTTAGTCTGATTGTCTGCAGCAAACCATTTGCAAGCTTTCTTCTGCAACATCTTTAGAAGAGGCTTCCTTCTGGGACGACAGCCCTGCAGACCAATTTGATGCAGCATGCAGCGTATGGTCTGACCCCACCCCCTCCACACCCCTTCAACCTCTGCAGCAATGCTGGCAGCACTCATATGTCTATTTCCCAAAGCCAACCAATGGATATGACACTGAGCATGGGCACTCAACTTCTTTGGTCGACCATGTTGAGGCTTGCTCTGGGTGGAATCTGTCCTGTTAAACCGCTGTATGGTCTTGGCCACTGTGCTGCAACTCAGTTTCAGGGTTTTGGCAATCTTCTTATAGCCTAGGCCATCCTTATGTAGAGCAACAATTCATTTTTTCAGATCCTCAGAGAGTTCATTGCCATGAGGTGCCATGTTGAACTTCCAGTGACCAGTATGAGAGAGTGAGAGCGATAACACCAAATTTAACACACCTGTTCCCCCTTCCCACCTGAGATCTTGTAACACTAACAAGTCACATGACATCAGGGAGGGAAAACAGCCACTTGGGCTAAATTTGGACATTATCAATTAGGGTGTAGTCACTTTTGTTGCCAGCACATAGCTGTGTGTTGCGTTAGTTTGAAGGGACAGCATATTTACACTGTTATACAAGCTGTATAGTCACTACTTTACATTTTATCCAAGTGTCATTTCTTCGGTGTTGTCACATGAAAAGATATACTTAAATATTTACAAAATGTGAGGGGGTGTACTCACTTCTGTGAGATACTCTCTCTCTGTGTGTGTGTGTGTGTGTGTGTGTGTGTGTGTGTAATTTTTAAATCATACATTGAAGCACTGTAGGCAGATATTTTATCAGATGTTTCCTTGTCAACAATATTTTAATATTTTAATATGAGTGTCAAAAGTGAGGCAAAGTATTTAGCCTTATGAGAATGAAAGCAATGCCACGTCATGCTAGGCACAGGATTTATTTGCTCGTAGCAATGCTGAAACATTCATTATATGAACTTTACTGGTTAGACTCCTGAATGATTGATATTTTGGGACGGTGAGGGCAAGAGGCAAACTTAGACATAACAGAAAAGAAAATGACTGAATAACAAGAAACAGAATATATGGGGTGGGGAGCCGTCCTTCAAATATTTTATTCTGTCACCAACAAAATATTTTATTGTTTCAAAATTCAAAACCCAAGAAGGAGTCATGCAATGGCTCCCTTTCATACATAATATTATTTCCTCATCTTTTCCTTCTTTTAAAATATTCATCCTAAGCTTTTATAATCACAGAATAATTTACTTGACTGTTGCTTATAAAATTTACAGCCTTGGCACTCCACCTTTGCTGAAAATCTGCAAGACCACTCTGTAGTTATCTCATAGGAACTGAGACCTTACATAAATCATGCTACATCTGCAATGGTATACAATGTGTCTTACCAGAAATATATACTTGCCAAGTCCTGACAATATCAAAAGAACAATTTAAAAGATAACATTTTAAATAAAATGTTCTGTTATGTAATGCAGAAAGTTCTGAAGTATGAAATTCGGTCATTCTAGCACAACGGTTTGGATACCAGTCTATGATAAAAAGTGGAATTAAGTGGAATACAATGGCTTCTGCTGACTGGGGTGCATGAATCAAAGCAGACAAGATGGCGGTCATCAAAATATGGTTGAAGAGCCCCGCTCTTTGACTATTTTGATGCTCCTCCGGGCCCCCAGTGGATATGGATGTGGAATACTCTTTCCAATATGAAGGTACAACGGATCCTCCTCTTTTTATGCAAGTGAATTGGGGGTAAGGAGCAGGGGAGGGCATTGTGGTTTTGCATTTTATGAAAGAAAACTTACCTATATCGTTTTGTGTGAACAATAAAAGGCCTCTCTGAATAAGTGGGACTGAACTCCTGGCTTATCTCACCTGAAGAAAGTTTTTTTAAAAAGTTCAAATATGCCATAATGAAGCAAAGAAATACCAAAATCACATACATTTACAGAATTCAGTTTCACTAAAGTGTGAAGATAATTACTGTTATTGTGTTCAATTTATATCCATATTTCTTATCAAAGTATAGCAGTATTATGGAGAGAGTGAAAATATCAAGAAAACATAAAGGAAGATTGAAAATATATTTCAGAAGATTGAGAAGGGAAGGTGAGTCAAATATTACATTAAAATAGTCAATCTAGAATCTAAAGAATAGCACAATTTGTTTCAAATATCCAGTGGAAATCTGGACTTATCTATACATGTAATATCACAGTCATGGAGAAAATCTATTTGGTTTCTAGGAGTCAAAAACAAATTGATGGTAAATATCAATCAATTCAGATTACTTCTGAATTTAAGAGCACTGATCAATTGAGCATAGAAGAACACATGAATCTTTTAGACATGCTCAAATTATATTAAAATCTCAGTTTATCAGATCTTAGTATAGTGATGCAAAATCTGTTCAGCATTTTAACATGTAATGCCATGTTATGCATGCATTGAATTTCATTTGACATTGTTACATAACAACATTTTATGTTTGCATATAATGGTTTAACACATGTATACATTCCCTTTCAACATTTCATGAATATTCAAATATATCAGATCCTCCTGTCCCCAGCAGTCTGTTAAGTCAAGGGTTTATTGTCATTTTTACTCTAAGTATTTACTCTATGTCACTTACACTTTCAAAGTTAGAGGTTTCTATCAGAATTAAGACAGGATAACAGAGAGAGATGGAAGTGCCAGGAGAAATGGAAAAGAAAAGTGAATTAAAAGCAGTTAATATTCAGGAAGCACTTCTTCCTTAATCATCATGGCATCATGGTATCTAACTGAATGTCCTTATTAAGACTGAAAATCTATTAGAAGGCTACCAATATCCTTCCAGAACAGAAAGTTATACTTCCATATACATTCTCATTCTCATTCTCTCCCTCCATCCGTCCCTCCACCCCACCTTCACCTCTTCTTCCTTACTTACATTCTGCTTGGGCAATGATGGAGATGGAAGCCAAGCTCCCTTGTCCGCTGTCTTCCTTGGCAGTTCCTTTAGCAATCACATCACTCAGGATCTTCCATGATCCATGGAACATCTTTTTATCTGGTTCCTCTACTTTGCAAACACTGCTTTTCTTTTCACTCACTACTTCTTCGGGCCCTTTGCCCATTAGGAGATCCTTTGGAGATCCAGTAGCTGGATTTGTATTGTCCTGGCAAGCTATTTCCATTACTGCCATCTCTTATTTTTGGTAGGTCACTAAAAGACAAAGCCCAGGGGGGAAAAAAAAATTTAGATTGCAATTTTTAAGCATTTGTTCTGGTAGAGTTTGTGGGTATTGATGTCTACTCTTTCGATACTGGACAATGAAAGGTGTTTTTTCTTGAAGAAAACATATTATCTTGTAGCAGAAAACAAAACACAATATCTAAGTGGCTACTTAGAAATTCCAAATCATCTTTTACAACACCCCACCCCAAATTTTTTTCCTTTAAAAGCATAACCTTACATACACCTATTTTTTGCATCATCGAAAATGTATTTATAAAGCCTGTGTTTCTCATTCATAATTCTAAAGTTGCCCAATTTCTCAAAGATGGACAATGTATAAATTGAAAACTACAGAAAAAGAACAATTACTGGGCAATAGGAAGATGGTTACTTGTGCAGCAGACATAAGAACTTCTAAGAGCCCATAGGCAGCCCAATCCCAAACCTTGGGAAAGAGCTAAACCATATTTAAAGAACAGCGGCCTTGCAATTGTGCTAAAGTTCCCAGAACTGGAAGTCCATATCTACTTTGTCTTGCTAGAGTTGAGCTTCAATCCGTTCTCTCTATCCATTGCCCAACAACCTCCAAGCATTGATTCTTTTATGATATATGTTGGTAGCCCACAGTTCGAGATGCACACGATACAGAGTTATATAATCAGAGACGTCTTCGGACATGGAAACGAGCACTGCCCTCTCGAGCCGGAAACGAATAGCACGTATGTGCAAGGGGAACCTTTACCTTTAAGTGCCCAAGTTCCAATATTTTTGTATGGCAAGGTTCCTCTTTCTGTTTTGCAAAGCTAGAAGCCTAGAAAGGAACTTTGCTTCTCCTTTGATCACAGCATCTCAAAACTTTCTGCAAGCCAGAAACCTTGGACTTTAAACTCTGCTGGGGTGAGGCATGCAAGGTAAAGTTTCCTGCCACTCAAGCGAGGTAGATGAGAAATTGTTTCCTGTACTTGAAGATCTCCAGAAATATTGGCTAGCCAGGAAGGGTGGGGTTGCATGTGAAACTCATTCAAGGGATTTGAAAGCCCAGCATACATGCTTCGATCCTTTCTGCTTTCCTCCATGAGTCTCCCCACCCTCCCAAAATACCCCTCTTTTATTTGTTTTAGGCTATTGTCCCTAAAGGCGTTTGTTTTTAAGTATATGTTACACCACTACATATAAATCTTGAGTCTTTTCCAAGCACTCACATATTTTATGTGGTCCTCCTTCTGTCAATACAGCTGCCCACGCAGAGGGAAGGGCCTATCATTAAAAGATATGATAACCACAGTCTCAATTGTTTATTACTGGTCTGAGAATAGCGGGCAAAATGAGCACATACTCCATTTGTAGAAGAAAATATTGCTGAATTGATCTAAGCATATGAGAAGAACCAATCTGGTGTAGTAATTAAAGGCACCCAACTAGAAATTGGGAGACTGTGAATTCTAGACCTGCCTTAGTCGTGACTAAAGTGAGTTTCTGGGTGAATTTGGGCCAAGCGTTCTGTTCAGCCCTAGAAAGAAAGCAATGGCAAACAACAAACAATGGCCAACCCCTTTCTTGTAAAGAACGCCCATGTCCTGGATCCCATACAAACAATGCTCTCTCAGTAGGTTAAGTGGCTTCTCTCTCCTCCAGCTTCAGCTGCTGCTTAGAAAGCCTTTTTAACATTTCAGAAGCCACAATTTCCAGTCACACCTTGCAGATACATTTTCTTCTTAAAGAACAAGAGGATGTTGCATCTCAAAAGCAAAACCAATTTGCGATATTGTTCCCCGTTAGGCTCATGATCTCAAGGGATTTGCTTCAATTAGGCAAGCAATGCTCATTTTCCAGAAGAAAACAGGGAGGAGAAAATGATTTTTAACTGAATTTGTTTATGGAAGAGCCACTAACGGTGAGCTGTCTTGATTTTCACAGACCCAAAGCTGGTACCTGGGGATGCCAGGCCTTCCTGATTTTCTTGATTTTATGAATCATTTGAACATTTTGAAGTCCTCTATAAGCATCATCTTTGTTCCCTGAGAGAAATATATGCTCCATGTTTGCTTGGCATTACTATAATTCCAATCACAGATATGCTGCGCTTATAATGGATGGCACTCTCCATCGTGCCTTTCTAATTAGCTCAAACTGAAGACAGAATATCTGCCTGTATCAGGAATAAGCAGGCTGGGTCCATTCTGTTTCTAATATAGCTTAAAGATCTACCATAAAAGTGTTTAGATCAGTCCAAATATAGTTCATGGCAGTGTCACATACACTATGTTGCATCATACTATATGAATCCTTCTTTAAAGTATTATGTATTTAATTCTTAAATTACCTTAAGATTAGCTTTAAAAACACAACTTCTGCAATATGCATTTTTGTTCATTTTATTTTTGTACTATTTTTTTGAAGTGATAAAGATATAACACAATCAGATTATTAGTGCTTTTTTAAACATCAAATAATCCCCTAGCACAGAGGTCTCCAAACTTGGCAACTTTAAGACTTGTGGACTTCAACTCCCAGAATTCTCCAGCCAGCATAGCTGGCTTAATTAAAGTCAACCAAGTTTGGGGATCCCTGCCCTAGCAGATCATCCCATTATCATGTTAAAAATAATAAATGGCAGGTATAGTACCTTTCAGTTCTTAAGTATTGATCCAAAATAATTAGGAACCAGGATATACATACTTAGAATTAAGGAATAAAATGTCTTTCAGCAACATCAAAAATAACAGCAAATTGGTTACAATTTTACATGCCTAAATCCTTCATATGAAAATACAAGCACGATTTACCTTTCTAAGCCTCTTTTCATGTTTAAGTTTTAAGAAGTCTACTTACAGTTGCTAATGTTTAAAACGTGAGTCAATCTAGTATGATTAAATAGTACATTTTTGCAATGTCCCCAAGTTGTTATGTTTTGGGAAGAAATAATTAGGTATCTTAATTTGATTGGGATAATATTCCATATTTTCAAATATTGTTTTGAACCGTACACACTTGTGTACATCGAAACTGATAACTGGACAATGCCGGTGTATTCTTTAGGCCATTCTTATAGCAATGGTAACAGATAAATCCTTCAATACTATAAATATAAATTTATGAACCCATTTATTCAATGTTACCAATGTTTTTTCCTTACGGAAAAATCAAATAAAGCTTCAAGGATTCTGGGGAAAGTAAGGCCTAATGCTGCTTCCTGCAATGCAAAGACTCTAAGCTTGGCCTCACTCTTAACACCTCTCACTAGCTGGAGACTCCACTATACCTGTGACTTACAAAAAATGCTTATAGACATGGAAAATGTATGGACAAGTACAATGAAATATGTTCATCCTTTATTAATATTTATTGAGATCACCCAACATCATGGGTTGAGGTATCTGCACTTGGCCCTGGTGAGACAGGTCATGTAGTTACTACCTTCTTGCAGTGCCTGAAGACTGTGGTGGCCTGAATGGGGCATGATAGGCTTCAGTTTAACCCTTGGCAAGACCAAGTGATTCTGAATGCATGGAGCCCCAAAATCCAGGACTTCGACATATTTAATGCTGGATGGAATGGCACTACCCCAGATGGATCCAACTTGACTCCTGACTCCTGCTCAAAGAGCAGGTGGCAGTCATGGCAAGAGAGCCTTTGCACAACTTCATGTTGTGCATCAGTTGTGGCCACTCCTGCATTAGGACTCCTTGGGCTCACGCATTCAAGCCCAGTCATTTCATGGTTGGACTATTGCAATGCGCTCTACATGGAGTGACCCTTGAAGAGTCTTTACAAAGTGCAGAATGTAGTGGCATGGGTAGTACTTGGGATCCCAAGAATGGCCATGTAACATCACTGCTCTGTGAGTTGCATTGGCTGCCAGTTTATTTCTGGGTACAATTCAAGGTGTAAAGGCAGAGAAAGCATGTTGCACGCTCCATTGGTATTCCAGTTGGGAGTACTCCAGCTGGTAGAAAAAAGCCTTTTCCGTTGTCACTTCTGGAACTTCTTGGCCCCTCCCCCATACAGTGTTCTATTCCTTAATTCTACGCATATGTACTTTGATTCCAAACTATTTTGTATCAGCCTTAAGTGTTCTACAGGATTGCAAAATCAATAGTCTTAGATTCTGTCTACTGTGCCTATGTTTATGTAGACAACCATACTAGCAAAGCAGATTTAAAACAAAATCTTCAGAAACCTTTTAAAGCAAACTCTGCCCTATACAGTGAATTGGTAATCTAGTTAACCTAAAAGCTAAACACTTCAGAAAGTATTTTTAAGACCAGTGAAAAAAATTCTTTTGAATTCAGTTTTGAAGTAGGTGAAAAAATATGCTTAAAAAGAATTGTTTAAAAAATGCTGATGCTGTTGCCAGGACTCTTTGATTATATTAATGAGAAAAATACATTATGTGCCATGGAGAGCTGAGACTATTCAAGAAACCACTGCAGAGAAGCCAGCCCAACTTAAGAGGTGCCCAAAGAAGTTGATCCTCAGCTAAATGTATCCTATGACTCCACAGTCGCAAATATGCTGTATAAAGATCCTCATGGAACTTGGCAAGCCACTGAGCCAGACAGGATGAATCACCAGAGATGATTAGATATCTGAACTTTAAAATGCAGCATGCACTGCCTTGCAGCAAATGCTACAGGTCAGTTTTCAACAGAGTTTAGTGCTTCCTCTGCACCCACGCTTTGAAACACAGCCTTCTCCAACTCCTGCTGCTATTTAAATGTAACTTGAAAGGGAAAAATGTGAGCAATTAATGACTCATCCGACTTATAGCATATAGCTTGTAGCATACAACATTCTACACCAAAAACATATATTGCTCTGCTGCTATGTCAAGGACTGGGAATGACTGTTGAACCTTATAAATGGGGAAAACAGCCTTTTAATTTCTACAAACAAAATTAAAATCTCAATAACAAAATCTTGTCCAAGTTGCAAACACCGCTATGGAAGTATAATACTGGGTATGCTTTCAATACAAAATTGCCTTT